GAATAAGCCACCTTCATGCACACAGAACCGCCCCCACCAATTTTTTGTGCCTCATAATGAAATCTTAACAGATAGCCAAAGATTACCAGATGTTTATGGAAAGATCTAATATGAAACAAAAAGACCAAAACAGAGGAAACAACAGAACAAATCTTCAAAAGTAGTATAGTTACTATCTATAGAGAAATAAGAAAAGACATTTATCCATGAAATGACAGGACGTATTTTAGACTGTTTGGGATGCTATAACAAAATATGATACACTGGGTGGTTTATAAACAACAGAAATTTATTTCTCATGGTTCTAGGGACTGGAATACAAGATCAAGGGGCTGATTTGGTGTCTGGAGAGGGCCTGCTTTCTGGTTCAGAGACAGTGTCTTCTTGCAGGGGCCTCACATGGTGGAAAGGGTGAGCTGGCTCCGTTAGGTTCTCTTTATAAAGGCACTAATACTATTCATAAGGGTTCCATTCTCATGACCTGATCACCTCCCAAAGGTTCCCATCTACAAATACTATCACATTGGGGGTTAGGTCTCAACACGTAAATTTTGGGGGGACACAGACATTCAAACCATAGCAGGGTACAAAATAAAATAATCATAACAAGAAAGGGATTTTGGTTATGAAAAAGCAGAAGTTGAAAGTAAGTATTCAAAAGAAAGTATAGAAAATAATTGATAAAGGCTGGGCGTGATGGCTCACATCTGTAATCCCAGCACTTTGGGAGGCCAAGATGGGTAGATCACGAGGTCAGGAGTTCGAGATCACTCGCCAAGATGGTGAAACCCTGTTTCTACTAAAAATACAAAAAAAAAATTAACTGGGTGTGGTGGTGGGAGCCTGTAATCCCAGCTACTAGGGAGGCCGAGGCAGATAATTGGTTGAACCTGGGAGGTGGAGGTTGCAGTTGCAGTGAGTTGAGATTGCACCACTGCACTCCAGCCTGGGCGACAGAGTGAAACTCTGTTTCAAAAAAAAAAAAAAAAAAAAAAAAAAGAAAGAAAGAAAGAAAGAAAAAGAAAAGAAAATAATTGATAAAAACTTCAGAACATAGTACAAAAAGATGGAAAAATGTGAGAGATAAGAAAATTTGTGGATCTATTCTGAAAGTCCAACATCCAGCAAGAATGGAGGGAAGGAAATAATAATAAAAAAATAATAGCAGAAAATTTATCAGAATGAAAGGATAAGGGTCTCAGTATCAAAGGGACTGCTAAGTGAGCCACAAAATGAATGGGAAGAAAGGCTCAGGCTATAAGGCACATCTTTATAACCCTTCAGAACTCTAAGGATAAAAAGGAGATCCTAAAATCTTCCTAAAAATAACAGATAACATACAAGGACTAGGAATCAAAATGGTATTGAACTTCTCAGTAGCAACATTGGAAGTCAGAAGAAACTGGAGCAAACTACTTATAACTCTGACAGGAAGTGATCTGCAATCCAGAATTCCACACCAACCAGCTAAATTCTCAGTCAGGTATGAGGGCAGAATAAAAGCATTTTTAGATGTCAAGATCTCAAATATTTATCTCTATGTACCTTTATTCCAGAAGGTTCTGGGGATGTGATACTGAAACCAAAGGAGTAAGCCAGGAAAGAGGAAGACACAGATTTAATAATTTAAGAAACAGGGGATCCAACAGAGCAAAGTGTAGTTGCAGTCCTAGGAACAGCTATGCAGTAGGCCCACAGACAGCCAGTACAGATAGGAACGGGGAGATGAAGGTACTCAGAAAAAAAATGTAACCAGTGTGCATGGGCCATGAAGAGAAGCATTAGAAAACAAGAACCAGAGAATGATAAAAAATGAGGGCACATGCATATTATACAGTTTTTTTAAAGAAATAATAACAGAAATCAATGATGATTAAGTCCAGGCAAAATAAAAAGGTTCTACAAGAAAGAAGCACAGTCATAGTACACTACTTGGCTCTGGAGTGCACAATGTTTGTATAATCATCCAATGTAAACAGCACCCACCAGATTCAACCAAAATTTGTGATATATCACAAGAGGAATGAGAGGTGGAAAGTATGATGTATGAGAGTTAGTCCTAATCTCTCATGGCAATAAAACTAACAAATGCTACTAAAATTAAAGATCAAGAAATCTCGCTATACACACATTGTTGAGAAACACTTGAGTAAATACCAGAAAAAACAGCCAAGGAGTTGAGACAAGTAGCCTCTAGGAAGTTGACCTATGGGTGGGGACTATTACTTTTCATTTACAATGCTTTTAGTACTTCTTAGCCTTTAAAATGTGTACTTGGAATATTTTCATACATATATATTTTATTATTATTTTATTTATTTGTTGAGATCTAGTGTTGCTCTATCACCCCAGGCTGAAATGCAGTAGCGTGATCTCAGATCACTGCCAACCTCTGCCTCCCAGGTTCAAGTGATTCTCCCTGCCTCAGCCTCCCCAGTAGCTAGGACTAACAGGTGTGCACCACCACACTTGTGTAATTTTCTTTTCTTTTTTTTTTTTTAAGCAGAGACAGGAGTTTGCCACGTTGGCCAGGCTGGTCTTGAACTCCTGACCTAAGTGATCTGTCTGCTTGGCCCTCCCAAAGTGCTGAGACTACAGGCGTGAGCCACCCGTACCCGGTCCAGTTAAATGATTTTTTAATTGAAGGAATATGTGCATTAAAATAGTTTTTAAGAAGGTAAAGGAAGCATATATGAAAGAAGCAAAATTCCATTGTTTTTGATGCCTAGGATAGGAAATAGAATGTTTCTAGATGGGGCTGGGTGCAGCAAGCAGCTCACCCTGTAATCCCAGCACTTTGGTGAGGGGAGGATCACCTGAGGTCGGGAGTTTGAGACCAGCCTGGCCAACATGGTGAAACCCACCTCTACTGAAAATACAAAATGTAGCCCAGTGTGGTGGTACACACCTGTAATCCCAGCTACTCAGGAGGCTGAGGTAGGAGAATCGCTTGAACCTGGGAGGCAGAGGCCGCGGCGAGTTGAGATCATGCCACTGCATTCCAGCCTGGATGACAGAGATTCTGTCTCAAAAAAAAAAGAAAAGAAAAGAAAAGAAAAAAAAAAAAAAGAAAAAAGGATGTTTCTAGATGGAATGCCACTGTGGGCCTGTTTTTGGTTATGTTCCCCTCTAGCCCAGCTCAGGTCATCCATCCCTAACTTTGGTGTTGGGGTTGTTTTACTTCTCTTTTTTGGTTTTACCGTATCTGTATGTAAAATGGAACAGCAAGAAAATACCTAGTTGTCTAAGGAAAGGTCAGCTCTGCCATTATTGGTTGGAATCCCCCAGGAGAAGATGATCCCAACAGACTCAGGGTCATAGTCTGGCCTCAGTGTTCCTGAGGGTTTTCGAGAAGTTCTTCTGAGAAGTCTGTGGGCGAGGTCAGGAGACAGTCTCAGGGTTTACCTCAGTCAGGCATCAGGCAGGGTTGTAGTGTGGACTGAGTATCTGACATCTTGTGGCTATATGGTCAGAGAGATGGGCTACTTTGTATCTTCAGCTTCTGAAGTCTTCAAAGCCCTCTTCCAGTTCTTAGAATTAGGTCAAATGAAAAATTCTGGTAGGATGAAATGAATGTCAGAGCAGGGCATGGAAAGGAGAGTAGAAACTTTATCAGTGTGCTGTCGAGAAATCTGAATCCACACTGATTTTGATTCTTTGTGGCTGGAAGCTTATAGAATCTTCGCTGTCTATGGGGTTCCGCAGTTTTACAGTGACATGCCCTTGTGTTGGCCGCTTTCATCCATGAGGTATTTTTGATGGGTATTTTCAATCTGGCAGTTGTGTCCTTTGATTCTGAGAACCTTTCTTGACAACTTCCTCTTTTCCCTCTCGTATTTATCTTGAGCTGTGATTTTATTGAATGTTGGACTTCCTGTTTTGGTCTTCTGACTTTCTTATCATTCTCTCCAGTTTTCCTCTTTGTCTCTTTTTCTCTTTGGGGTATGTGTATGTGTTCAGTTTCTTAAGATTTCCTTATCTTGGTCGTCCAACCCTACTATCCAGTTTTTCCTTTCTGCTACCATATTTTTATTATCTAAGAGCTCTTTTGTTTTAAAATCTTCCTTTTAAAAAAATACTAAAATCCTGTTTCTTTGTCTTGGATGTAGTATTTTATCTTTACCTTTCTGAGGCTATTAATGACAGGTTTTTTTTTCTCTCCTCTGTGCATGGTCTGTTTCTCTAAGTTGCTTCTTCCTATTCTTTGTTTTGTTTTTTTTTTGTTTCGTGCTCAGATGTTTTAATTCTTCATTTTCTGCTCCTCATTAACATTGTGGTACTATGTAGCGAGTTGGAAGCTCTGAGCCAGTTGAATGGGCCTTAATCAATTTTGACTTAACCATAATTGGATGATTTTCATTGTCTCTTTATTGGGGAAATCCTCTTGTTAGTATCTTGAGGTCTGTCACTCGGAGAGTAAGCTCTAGGGGAGCGAATGGCATGGAGAGCTTTTCCTGTGTCCTGCTTGAAGCATGAAGGTCTTGCTGTTGGTATTCTCATGGCTGAGTGGTGGAAGAAAGCTGTCATTTATTTGTGCACACACGATTTACTATGTGTATTGTCACTTAAATCCTCAGTTTTCTGTACAATACCTTTGTTCACAACTGAGCGTGGTTTTTGCCAGTCCAGGGAGCCTCAGTTTACCTCCTCTGGAGACTAGACCTTTGGCAGCTGAAGGGGAGAGATAGTTTAGGAATCTGCTCCATAAACAGCTTCCAGCCAGTTCCCTATTCTAGAGACACCCCTCCTCGTTATCATTGCTTTTTGAGGATTGTGTTCTCAACCTCACCTTCCTTTTTAGTTTGAGATCGGACTTTCTTAGGTCTGCTGAGGCAGTACTCACTTGTTCATCTACATTCAGATTTTTATTTTTTTAATCATGTGTCTCCTACTTTATCCTTATGAGTTAGTCTTTAACGATTTTTTTTTTTTTTTTGACAGGGTCTCACTTTGTCACCCAGGCTGTGGAGTGCAGTGGCGCTATCTTGGCTAACTTCAGCCTCAACCACCTGGGCTTAAGCAGTCCTCCTGTTTCAGTCCCCCCAAGTAGCTGGAACTACAGGTATGTGCCACCATGCCCAGCTAATTTTTGCATTTTTTGGTAGAGACAAGGTTTTGCCATGTTACCCATAGTCCGAACTTGTGAGCTCAAGCCATCTGCCCTCCTTCGCCTCTCAGAGTGCTGGGATTATAGGCGTGAGCCACTGCATCCAGCCTAATAATATTTCTTTAGCGTGGTTTTAAGAAGGTTTCAGGAGGGAGCAAAATGAAATCTGTCACCTTAAATCCAGAAACTGCTATGAGAAACAATACATGAGGTTCAAATGTATATTCCTGTGTCTTTTGGTTTGGGATCAGATATTTTAAGACATATGTGGTAAAATATGGTGTAATTTTTTTCTTTTCTTGCTCCCTTACCTCCCATACGTGTGGTCATGGTATTCCTTGTGCCGTTTTTTGTTTTTGTCTTGTTTTGCCATTTGCTATTGAGGTGTAACACGGAAACCTTTGTCAGCAAGGGTCATTTCCAAATGGTGAAATAACTGTAACCACATTTTAAAGTTTATTGCCTCAGGAAGCTAAGGCACAGGAATTACTTGAACCAGGAGGCGGAGGTTGCAATGAGCTGGGATGGCGCCACTGTACCCACCTGGGTGATGGAGTGAGACTCTGTCTGTCTCAAAAAAAATTGACGAAATCAAATATTTATTTTTCTTAGTGAAAGTAAATTCTTAAGTTATGTTTGTCAAAAAACTGTCATTTGAGTTATCTGCTTTAAAAGCTATAGTTGTCATTCCAAATTGCCTTTTTGGATGCGTAATAAAGTGCACAGATTTAAAGATGATTTCAGGCAAATAGGATATCTTTTCTATGCGTGATATTTGAGTATTCTATGTAAAGTCAAGTAGGAAACTTTAAACAGTGATAATAAGTATTCTGTGTCAACAATGTTGACAAATCTGAAAGATTTTACATCTTTATGAAAATGAGATTAAAATAATTTCAGTTAACTGTACCTTTGTGGTAGATATATGTGGACTCCTGTGATAATTTTAAAGCCATGTAAATTTCACGCAGTTTTATAGTATGCAGAGGTTTTAGTTGTAATGTTAGCAATTTATGAAATTAAGTTTTCCATTATTGCTTTTATTTAATAAGTGCTTAAAATAGTTATTTGTATAGGTTAGTGAAGTATATAATAAAAAGATTCTTTTTTTTTTTTTTGAGACAGAGTCTCGCTCTGTGGCCCAGGCTGGAGTGCAGTGCCGGATCTCAGCTCACTGCAAGCTCCGCCTCCCAGTTTCACGCCATTCTCCTGCCTCACCTCCTGATAGCTGGGACTACAGGCGTCTGCCACCTCGCCCGGCTAATTTTTTGTATTTTAGTAGAGACGGGGGATGGTCTTGATCTCCTGAGCTCGTGATCCGCCCGCCTTGGCCTCCCAAAGTGCTGGGATTACAGGCGTGAGTCACCACACCCGGCCCAGCTTTTAATTTTAATAATAATATTCCTTTTGAACTTTTTGGCCTTTTTTAAAAAATAAAACTTTAAATTTAGAATAGTTTAGGTTTATACAAAAGTTGCAAAGATAGTAGAGGGTTTCCATATATCCTGTACTTGGTTGCCCCTGTTATTAACGTCTTAGATTAGTGTGGGATATTTGTTACAACTAATGGACCAGTACTGATACACTGTTACTAACTCAAGTCCATACTTTATTCAAATTTCCTTTTACCTGATGTCCTCCTTCTGCCTCATGATCCTATACACATGATATTTAGTCATCATGTTTTCCTCTGGATTGTCGGTTTCTCAGACGTTCCTTGTTTTTGATGGCTTGACAGTTGGGGGAGTATGATTAGGTATTTTGTAGAAAGCCCTCATTATGGGTTTTCTCATGGTTAGCCTAGGTTTTTTGCATTTTTGGGGAGGAAGACCACAGAGGAAGTACAATTCTCATCTTCTTATCAAGAGTGCATGCTGTCCTCGTGACTTACCACTGATGATGTCAACCTTGGTCCCCTGGTTGAGGCAGTGCTTGTCAGGTTTCTCCACATCCTCCCCCATCCCTCACCCCCCAATACTGTACTTTCTGGAAGCAAGTCACTGTAAACAGCCACACTTAGGGGGTGGGAGTTATGTTCTACCTTCTTGAAGGGACAATATCTACATTAATTATTGGAATTTTTCTGCCACAGGAGATTGTTCAGTTATTTTTTCAGACATTTATTACTATGAGTATAGATTCATTGATATTTATTTTATACTTATTGGGTTATAATTTGATATTTATTAGGTTATAATTCAATGTCACCTTATTTATTTTGTTACTCAACTCTGCTTTTTATTTTTTTAAGTTATAAATACATATATATCTTAAAGTTTAAACAGTATAAAGGGTATGCTGTGAAAAATGAATCTGTCTCCTTCATAATCTCCAATCTGACCTTCCTTTCTCCGGAGGCAATCACTATTGCTATATATTTTTTGGTGCCGCCAGATGTATTCTGTGCATGTTTAATAAATACTACCTGTGTTTAATATAGCCATCACTCAGTATTCTCAAGGATTGCTTCCAGAGCCCTCTGCAGATAGCAAAATCTGTGGATGCCCAAGTCCTGCAGTTGGCCATGTGGAATCTGCTGATATGAAAAGTTGGCATTCCATATCCAAGGGTTCTGCATCCTGAAGAATACTGTATTTTCAGTTCGAGGTTGGTTGAATCCAAGGATGCGGAACCTTTGGCCACAGAGGGCCGACTGTAGTGCCTTTTCAGTTTTAACTTGGATAAAATGATTAGGTAAGATCTGCAAGGACACTTTTAAGTGCCTGGTTCTGAGTTCTGCTCTTCTGCATGCATTATCTGCTATACATATATCCTATTAATTTTCCCCATTCTCCATTTGCTTAAAAATGGAATGTTTATATTAATAAAGATACCCAGATAGCTGTATCCAAGCTTGTTCTCACATATTCTGCATCAGTATTCCTGTGAATTCATGCATATTTTGGAGAATGATAGGCTCTCACATATAAATACTGTTGGGCACAAATATACTTTTTCTTCAGAAAAAGGTATTCTTAGTTACCATGGATTATATTTATTCATATCTGGTAGTTGAAAGTATTTCTCTATTAGATCTGTTTAGAAAAATGTGTAATTTTTTATTAGAAAAGTTTCAGTGTTCAGAAGTCTTTGGGAGATCAATAATTGCAGTAACACAATCTCCGCCTTAGTCTCCCCTCCATATAGATCAAATCATAGGATATTTTATTAATTTCCGCCAGCTCACTTCCCCCTAATTTCCTTTTGTGAATCATGGCATTAAAATAGACCAATGCCTTTTGCTCTCCTGTATTTTAGTACAACAACAGAGAACCATCTTCAGTTCTCTAAAAGCAATGTGAGATAGGATTTTATGAAGTATGTTGAATTAGAAATATTTTCCAGAATAAAAAATAAAAATAGAAAAAAAAACAGAAAGAAAAACAATATTTTCCAGGGCAAGCTTGTTCTGTGTATGAAATTATATATACAGTGTAATATAATTAATAAAGAACAAAAAGCAAAGCAGGAATGGATAATCAAAAGTGTTAAGTGATCTGATTTGGGGGAATGTAAAAAACTAAAAATGTTAATATAGGCGATTGATAAATTTCATTATGAATTATCATGTGATAGAACACTACGTGTTGGAGAATTAAGTAAAGTACCATGCAAAAACTGTGCCTGGGTCATTGAGATACTTAAATTCTCTTCCTCTAAACAACCAACTGGGTCAGCTTTTATCATTGAAAAATAACCAGTCAGCATAGTAGAATCGTAGTTGCTTTCCTTTTCATATTTTTTGCATTTTCTACAATGAGCATGTTATAGTTCAATATAATTCAGCATGTAATGTACTTTTAAAAATTAGTTAAAACCTTTTGTAGTAATGGAGAACAACAAAAAAGCATTGAGCTTTAGGCCACAATATGTTCTTAGAAAGTTAGATGACTAAAATTTGTATGCTGTGAGATTGCCTTGCAACCTGCAGTTTATCCTCTTAGTACTACATGGAGTACATGGAAATAAGGTGAGTTGCACCTTGGATTTAATGGTGGGATCTGGACCCCAAAAATGACATAAATCATTTTTTCTTTCTTTCCTTTTTTTTTTGTTAAGGCACAACATCAACCTGGTACTAGAGGAGGACGGATTCACAAGAATTGAAAATTGATGGGGAAGAAAAGGGGAAACGAACATTTTTGAGTGCCTACTGTGGCCAGGTGCCCAGCTAGGTGTTTTACAATTCTTTAATCCTCTCAGCACCTTTTTAAGGAGTGTATTGTTAATGAATTGACATTCAAATAGAAGAATTCCCCATTAAAACACCAGTCCACCGCTGTTAACCTTTATTTGCCTCTCTCTGGTAACCAAAATCTTGGCTATGATAGTCAGTTTAGGACCACCCAGTCCAGGTAAATACCCAAAATAATATCTATAGTGTTCTTTAACTTGGGGTTTTATGAGATGAAAACAATGGAAACCACTGGGGTTCTGATAATGGCCAAGAATAATTTACAGCTTAACAGGAATTCAGAATCGTAGCCTGTCCTGATGACTTCAACTTGATGTTAACCTCTCAAACAAAATACTTCATTTTTAATGGTATAACTCTCTGGTTTTTATACAACACACACATGTCTGCTTTAGGAGAGTTTAATTCTATTTTGATAGCTAAATTTTTCTTCTCCATTTTTCCTCAATATTTTACTAAAAATTTCAAATGTACAGAAAGGTTGAAAGACTTATACAGTTACCAGCCTGACCAACATGGCAAAACCCGTCTCTACTAAAAATGCAAAAATTAGCCAGGCCTGGTGGCGCTTGCCTGTAATCCCAGCTACTTTGGAAGCTGAGGCAGGAGAATTGCTTGAACTTGGGAGGCAGAGATTGCAGTGAGCCGAGATCGCGCCACTGCATTCCAGCCTGAGCAACAGAGCTAGAGTCTGTCTCAAAAAAAAAAAAATAATAAAAAGAATGATACAGTAAATACTCATGTATTCATTGTCTAGATCTGTACTTTACTACATATTTGTAACTAAATATACAGCTTACTGTATTTGCTTTATCCTATGCCTGCATGGTAATTAAGTTTTTATAATGCTTTATTTTGCTTATTTGAAGGAAGTTTATTTTTAGAAGAAATTTTTCTAAGTGGAGATGGTTTCTAAAATCTGGTAGGTTAATTCTTTGTTTAGTTTTGAAATATTATGCAAAGTGTAGATATACTTGTTTGTAGAATATGCATATTTAGCATAGATCAGATACAACGTAATTTTCTTTCGTCCTTTAATGTTTTTCTCTCTGCTGAACACTTTGGGTCTATTTTTCTTGTTTTTTTTTTGTTGTTGTGTATGTTTTGTTTTTGTTTTTGAGACAGTCTCACTCTGTCACCCAGGCTGGAGTGCAGTGGGCATGATCTCGACTCACTACAACCTCCGTCTCCCGGGTTCAAGCAATTCTCATGTCTCAGCCTCCCAAGTAGCTGCGATTATAGGTGTGCGCCACCACGCCCCGCCAAGTTTTGTATTTTTGGTAGAGATGGGGTTTCACCATGTTGGCCAGGTTGGTCTCAAACTTGTAGCCTCAAGTGATTCCCCTGCCTCGGCCTCATGAAGTGCTGGGATTCCAGGCATGAGCCATTGTGCTGGGGACCTATTTTTGTCTGTTTTACTTATGGCTATAATTGCCATAGTTTTTGGATCTAAAACCAGTATGAATGTATGTATGTATATGTGTATATACATACTATATATACATACACACATATATACAAGAGTGTTTAGCAAGATAGACTATTTGAAATTAGATTCTTCCTAGAAAATCAGAGAAGTATGGTCATCCAACCAATTTAAATGGTCTAAACCTAGTAGGCAATTAAAAACATTTTTTTGGCTGGTGCAGTGGCTCAGGCTTGTATTCCCAGCACTTTAGGAGGCTGAGGTGGGCGGATCATGAGGTCAGGAGATTGAGACCATCCTGGCTAACACAGTGAAACCCCATATCTACTAAAAGTACAAAAAATTAGCTGGGTGTGGTGGCACATACCTGTAGTCCCAGCTACTCGGGAGGCTGAGGCAGGAGAATCGCTTGAACCCAGGAGATGGAGGTTGCAGTGAACCGAGATCATGCCACTGCACTCCAGCCTGGGTGACAGAGCGAGACTCCGTCTCAAAAAACAAACAAAAAAACAAACAAAAAAAAGAGTAACTGAGCTCGTAGGGTTATAGGACAGTTACATAAAATAAATCCTGAAGGTGTAGTAATATAGTAAATGCTCAATGTTAGCTGTTCTTGATCTCTGCATTTAAGGAGCTCAGTCTAGTCAGAGAGACGAACTAACATATGTAAAACAAGTAGAGGGCAATGAAATGATACTGATCACAAAGATACATTAGTTTATGGACGGGAGAGAGATGTGTTGACTGGAAAAGTTGGAGCTAGCCTGTAAGAGGAAGTGAGCCTGAACCGCCTGAAGGATGGTGGCTTTTAGATACATAAAGAGGCGACGTGGCCCACCAAGATGGGAGACAGCTGGAGGTGTTTAGTTCTAGGAGCACATCTGTCTGATGGAAGGGTACGTGGAATTTTTACCTCTGACTTGTAAAAACAGACTTTTAGAAGGCAGTAGCTTGGGTTCTTAGGCATTGTTTATTGTATTTGCACTGTTGTGCAAATGAACGAACATGTAATGGTGTTCAGACGGGAAGCTTTCTGCAGATTTGGTAGGCACTCTGGTGAGCTGGAACAGTGCAGAGGCTGCCGATTCCACACACCAAGGTGTAAGGAGGGCCCTGCAGCCAGTCAGCAGTTTGGACTTGATGCAGTGAGGAACCCCACTGTGGGTTCTGGAGTCCTGATGCAGGTTATTCTAGAGAAACATAGAGTGGCTTAGAGATGGACTTGAGAGGTGAGGACATTCAAGGCCAGAAAACTAGTGAAGAGATGGCAGCCACGTCTGAGATGAGAAGAAAGTGGGAGCAGTGGGAACAGGAGGAAAGAGAACACGTCAGAAATATTCAAAGAAGGAGCAACAGGATTTGGCACAAAATAGACGATAGAGAAGAGGCCATGGTGAAGGGAGACTTGAAGAAACTGGGACTGTTGGGGGCCAGCAGTAAAAGGAGTGTGCACTAAGAGGATTTGGAGTAGAGGAGCCGGTAAGGGTAAAAGATAGTTTTCTTATGAGTACGTTTGTTTGGTTGTGAATAGACTGTCTGTTAAGTGCAAATGACTGGTGAGCATTCACGAATGAGAGATTGGAATGGAAGTGTATCTGGCTGTTTTAGCTTTCTTGATGGCCCGCCACCCCCCTCCCAACCCCCAGCAATGGCAGTGGTGGCAGCCGCAGTCGTGGTAGACATCTTAATAAGAGCTGACACATCACCTATGTGCCAAACACAGCTCTTCTGCTCTTCACTCAAATATTTTTTTTTTTTTTTTTTGAGACAGGGTCTTGCTGTCTCACCCAAATTAGCATGCAGTGGCACAATCTCGGCTCATTGCAACCTCTGCCTCCCAGGCTCAAGTGATTTTCCTGTCTCAGCCTCCCGAGTAGCTGAGACTACAGGTGCATGCCACTGCACCTGGCTAATTTTTGTATTTTTTTTTATGGAGACGGGGTTTTGCCATGTCACCTAGGCTGGTCTCAAACTACTGAACTCAGGTGATCCACCCACCTCGGCGTCCCAAAGTACTGGGATCACAGGCATGAACCACCACACCAGGCCTTTTAAACGCTTCTCATTTAGTCCTCACAGCAACCTTATGAATTTTATCTCTACTTTACAAATGAGGAAATTGTGACACAGGTTAAATGAGTTGCCTAGTGTCACACAGCTAGTATGTGTGTGTCCTCATCAACAGACTCTGCTCTGCCAGACTATTTAGCACTTGATTACATGAAGTTCTGTGCGTCATGTGAAGCAGCCTTTAGATTGCTAACTAAATTGTTAGCTTTAATAGAGACAATAATAGAGAACTTTTTATTGTTATGGAATTACGTTTTTTCAAAGCTGAGGGCCAGCATGTTTCTGAAGGAGCTGGTGTAGGTGTATGCTGTAAATTGGTATTGCCTTCTAGAAAGCAGTTGGGTGTTAAGTATCCAGAGTCATTAAAATGTTTGTCACCTTTGACCTCATAATCGTATCCCTGATTATTTTAATCTTAGGAAATAGTCCAAAAGAAAATAAATTTTGTGCATGAGAATTTTAATTGCAGCATTTCTGTTCATTATGGCTAAAAATTGGAAACGACCTTAATGACCACTAGTAGGGGAATGTTCATGTGAAGTACAACACATGAATGCATTTGTCTATGTGATTGTCTTGTAAAATGAGGTATGACTGTATCAGCATATGGAGCAGTTCACAAAATATTAAGCAAAAACGTAGAGGTAGGCTGAACATTGTGTGCATATGCTGATTATAAGTAAAGTAGGTGTGTATGTGAACAAAAGCTAGAAGAAACATGGAAAAGCTAACACTTGAGTCCTAGAGTTATTTAATGAGTGGCTGTTGGTTGCCAGTAGCTAAGAACCTGCCTACTTTTTAAAAATTCTTGATTCTGGCCAGGGGTGGTGGCTCACATCTGTAATTCCAGCACTTTGGGAGGCCAAGGCGGGCAAATCACTTGAGGTCAGGAGTTCGATACCAGCCTGGCCAACATGGTGAAACCCTGCCTTTACTAAAATACAAAAATTAGCCAGCTGTGGTGGTGTATGCCTGTAGTCCCAGCTACTTGGGAGGCTGAGGCAGGAGAATCACTTGAACCCGGGAGGCGGAGATTGCAGTGAGCCAAGATTGCACCACTGCGCTCCAGCCTGGGCAACAGAGCAAGACTCCATCCCAAATATATATATAAAATATATAATATATATAATAATATATAATATATAAAAAATATATAATAATATATAATATATAATATATATAATATTATATATATTTTGGGATATATAATAATATATAATATATATAATAATATATAATATAATATATGATATATAATATATAATTATATAATATATATTATATATAGTATATATAAAAATTCCATTGTATCATTTTGAGACAGTGAGTATTCTTGTTGTAATGAAATTTCAAAATCATATTACACTATTCAGAAAGGCATAAAATGCAGCATTGTGAATAACGGTCAGCATTGTTTTAAATCTTGCCTT